CTTCTTCTTCTTCTTCTTCTTCTTCTTCTTCTTCTTCTTCTTCTTCTTCTTAATGGCGGTTGGCAAACAACTAAGTGGTGCATTACCGCCACCAACCAGTAAGGAGTGTGGATCAAGACAGACATGCTCAAAAAAAAAAAAAAAAACCCTAAATTCTTTTCGCTCAACTTGTAGCCAATAATTAACGAAACATAATTCTATAACTTGAATCATAAATACTTTTCCTTAGAATATTTGTTAGACAATACTTTTCTTTTTCCTTTGTCAGACTCCTTATCAATTGTGTTCTTTGTCTTTGAAACCTCCTACAGGTATACATCACGTGTTCTATTGTTTCATTTCCCCCACATTCATCACATCTTCCTGTTTCATGTTTTCCCATTAATCGTAACGTTGAATTAAGTCCTGTATGTCCCAACCGTAGTCTAGTTATTATCTTTTCCTCTATTCTGTTCCTCCCAATTTTTCCTCGAATTTCACCAACCTTCCTTTGTATTCTATAAAGCCATCTTCCTTTTATATCTTCTTCCCACTGTTTTTGCCAATCTTCTCGGATCTTTCTTTTAATAACACTTTTAACTTCTGTTTTACTCATATCGATTCTTATATCAGTCTTACTTTGGCTTATTGACTCTTTAGCTGTATTACAACTAGCAATAATCGCGGCTCGGATAAAACCTCATAGGCTACGATACTGCCACTGCGCAAAGCTAAAAAAGCTTTGCTGTATTTTTTTAGTCCTAAAAGAACCCCAAGTTAGGTTTCTGCTTTTCTTGTTTGTATAGAACATACACATTTTAAAACTCTTTAGTTACATTAAAATTCACTGAATTTTATTAGACCTTCTTTCGTTGATAGATCAACACAAAGCAGTAAATAATTGCAAAGTGGAAGAAAGAAAATTTGTTTTCAAAATAAAAAAAAGGATAGGAAGATTTCTCTTTAATTAACTTAATCTTAGTATAAATGTTGTTGCTGTTTAGTGGGAGCATTAGAGAAAAAACATAATCATGAAGACTAAGGAACACTGCAGAACGGTCAAGGAGAAAGTTTAAATCTGGGTTAGGTTCTAAGACTGAAATTAACATCTCACAGAGCTCTGAACAATCCATTATGTGGACTAAGTCCACTTTCCAGTTTGGTAAAACAATCTAAGAAATGCATGCAATATGTGGAAGGAGTTCTTGCAGTCGTGGTTCTAAGCGAAATTTACCAGGGGGGCCAGGATGGGGCCACTGTTTTTTTTCATGGGAAAAAAAACAAAACAGCACAAGCTCATCATTGCAGAGCCTTAAACCAGCAGATGAAAACTATGACCCTTTATTTAAAGAGCTGGAGCTAAAAACTGACTGTAATTGCTAACTTTAGTTGCTAAGCAATTCATTCTAACAACTATTATTTTAAATTGGTTTTTAAAACAGACAAAAATCACATGCACATAAATAAATACTTAAAAAAATAAGTAATAAATAAATAAAGTTAAGGATTATAATGGACAATAAATAAATAAGGTAATTATTACAAAGGCAGTGAAATAAAGAAGCTAATAAAAAGATATATGCACATTTATGTCTCACTGTATAATTTAATTTCTGCCTTCCTTTTTTATTGTATTTCGGGGGGCAATTAATTGTATGCTTATTTATTTATTTATTTATTTATACTTTTATTTTTAAATATGGCAGAAGTCGTGCTCCATATATATATTTCTTTTTTTATTATTATTATAAACTTAATTAGAAAATGCGTTATAATACAGAAAGAAATACAAATTCCATTGAATAATTGTTTGAGTGAAAACTAATAAATAAATACATAAATAAAAAGGAACTGAATAAAAGTAAAAATAGCAATAGCAAATATATGCATGTAAAGGGATAATATAAATACTTTAAATTTAGAGCATAAAGATAAAGTTTTAACAGCTTTTTTTGTTATTGGAAGAGGAAAATATAGAAAAATAAGTTCTTGCTTCCTTTAAAAAAGAGATATATGAGGGTTTAGTCATAATAATTTTACATTTGTGGATATAAAACTTGGCCAACAGTAGCAAAAGATTACAACCTCCATATTTGTAATCCAGGTAATCTAGATTAATTTAGGTCAAACTGAACTATTTCCGGTCATAGGCTCCGCCCATTTCAGTCCTTTATGAGTATTGTAGAAATTATTTAATGGATCAGTGTCTCTTATTGAAAAGTGTTTCACTGAAGCAGAAATAAAACTCTGGTTCCGGTTGGAGCTCCAGGGTTGGACCGAGGGAATGGAGACCCGACAGCGGATGAAATCAGTCCTCCAGAGGCGCATAGACTCCATGGCGCAGCAGCTCCACAGGCTGAGTCTGGACATCTGGAGCAGACCCGAACTCTCCGCTCAGGAAGTCAGCGCTCATGACACGCTGGTCCGGTTCTTCTCCGAGCAGAACCAGGGCTGGACGGTCCAAAGCCAATATAAACTGCCCACCGCGTTCCGGGCCAGCTGGGGGCCGCTGGGTGTCAGCCGGGGGGCCGCGCTGAACGTGGCCTTCCTGTGCGAGTATGACGCGCTGCCGGGGATCGGACACGCGTGCGGCCACAACCTGATAGCAGAGGTGGGAGCTGCGGCTGCAGTGGGGCTGAAAGCTGCTGTGGAGACCCACGCAGAACAGGCTGTCCCAGTGGAGGTAACAGTCATTGTCATAGGAGGGGCCAAGGTGGGGGCCAACTTTCCTTCATGGGGCCACTAAACAAAAGCATGAAACAAACTAACTAAAAAAGGATACAAATGTCATTGTTTGAAATATTAATTAAGCCAAACAGCCACTTCCATCCAAAACAAATAAAGTTACATTTTATATCATTATTAAAATCAAGGATGTCAAAGTCAAATACACCAAGGGCCAAAAAAGCTAATTTGCTACAAGCCGAGGGCCAGACTGGTTAAATGTTTATTAAAACATATTGAAATGAACATAGCCTATTGAACCAATACCCAACACATTGTTTTTTAAACAAAATATTAATATCAATATTATTAATAAACCTAAGAGAAATACATAAATGAAAGTGAATGCATCATAAACCGCAAATGCATTACTGTGTTGCTCTATGATGCTACATCAGTGACTGTTACAAAAGCCACAACACAAATACATAAAAACATAAAAATTAACATAAAATTAATTTAAAAACAAAATAACAACTTTACTCTCTTTTGTAAATCACAATACAACTAAGTTTCCTCCATAGCTCATAATACTCATTATCAAAGAGCTATCTTTAAAAACCCAGAATATTTTATTTATTAATATACTTTATAAACATATATTTGTTAAACATAATCTTATGATATATTAACATAAAACTTTGTGTTTATCATATTAATATTCAATTGCAAAATATATAACTTTGCATGTATTTCATCCAGTTTGAGTTCGGCTTAAATAGTTTTTTAATCTGAATATGTGTAATCTAATTAAAGGTCATTTTAGAATTTACTTTTGGTCTTTTAAAGGGTTGTGACATGTAATAGATTACTGTTATATTATCTCTGGCTCATCTTTCATGTGAATAAAATGAGATCTAAGGAGCCTCTTATTCATTCTGACTGCAGCTGTCTGAACTGTGGTCTGATCTGAGATGGACTCCTCAAGGCACGTTAGCCAGTGTCCAATAAGGGGTCTACGTATGTAATGTCTATGTGTATAACGACCAGCGGTTGCCTAACTTTTGTTGTAGTTTTATATCTTCTTTGAGGCCATTCCGTTGTGGTTTACATATTTCTGTTGTGGCTTTTATATTTGTGTTGCGGCTTTTGTATTTGTGTTGCAGGTCTTGTATTCGTGTTGCAGCTTTTGTATTCGTGTTGCAGGTTTTGTATTTGTGTTGCAGCTTTTGTATTTGTGTTGCAGCTTTTGTATTTGTGTTGCAGGTTTTTTGTATTTGTGTTGCGGCATTTGTATTTGTGTTGCAGCTTTTGTATTTGTGTTGCAGCTTTTGTATTTGTGTTGCAGCTTTTGTATTTGTTTTGCAGCTTTTGTATTTGTTTTGCAGCTTTTGTATTTGTGTTGCAGGTTTTGTATTTGTGTTGCAGGTTTTGTATTTGTGTTGCAGGTTTTGTATTTGTGTTGCAGGTTTTGTATTTGTGTTGCAGCATTTGTATTTGTGTTGCAGGTTTTGTATTTGTGTTGGCACCTCTGGGCCACCGTAGTTTCCCATTTATGATCCACTTAAAAGAGTAAAATCTGACTATTTTCTTTTGATCAAATCACCAAAAGCTATCCTGTTTACTAATGAAACAAGCTGATAGTTTGAGGAATGATGCAAACTGATGCCTGGTGAGAGAATCTTGAAACTATCTTTGCTCCTGTCAGTTATTAAAGATGCACAGAGACCTAAAACGCTCCATGTGTTTTCAGATAAGCCAACCTAAGGCCATGTGAGTAGCAGCAGTTGACTCACTGTTGTGGATCATTGAGCATGACTGGCAGGTTTGAGCTAACATTAACTTCAGGTTACTGAACCCTTTTAATCCCAGATAACTGTTCTGGGAACTCCTGCAGAGGAGGCGGTTGGAGGAAAGATCGACCTGATCCGAGCGGGGGCTTTCAGTGATGTGGATCTGGTCTTCATGGCTCATCCAGCTCAGCAGGATGCTCCCTTCCTTCCCACCGTCACCATCGCAGAGTGAGTTCTTTTATATTGCTTCTCCTTTTAAAATAGAAACCTAAATGATCACATCTGAACCAAGTGGGTGGATATTACGCAGGATGTCAGTGAAGTACCACGGCAAGGCGTCCCATGCTTCTGCGTACCCTTGGGAGGGGGTAAATGCTCTGGATGCTGCTGTGCTGGCTTACAGCAACCTCTCCGCGCTCAGACAGCAGCTCAAGCCTGAGTGGAGGCTGCATGGTGAGGAGCAGAAAAAATAGAACGTTGAATGACTTTAAGTTTGCAGCAAACAAAATCAGGAATGCATGATCGAAAAATCTTCTTACCTTTAAACTTCAGTTACCTAGAAAACAAATACAGCTTCTTACCTTTCATTGTGTTTTCATGCATTTCTTTGCAGACTTTAATTTTTGTTTCGAAAAAAATTAAGAAAATGAAGTCACAGTTTTCTTTAGTGTGAATTATCTAACAGGCTTTCACTACCGAAGACGATATAAGAAGACTTTAAATCCTACAAGTGGGAACCATGTTATCTGTGTCTGATAAATAAGCAGAAGAACAAAACGGATGAGTTTCTTTTCGCTTCCTCCTGTTTTTCCTCTGAACAGGCATCATCAAACACGGCGGGGTGAAGCCCAACATCATCCCTGCCTACTCTGAGTTGGAGTTTTATTTGCGAACTCCACAGCTGAGTGATCTGTGGGAGCTGAAGGCCAAAGCTGAGGCTTGCTTCCGAGCGGCTGCTCTGGCCACAGGCTGCCAGGTGAGCTGCTGACCACCTCAGTAATGAGACTCAGTTGTCATGTAAGATTATCTTTCAGGACTTATTGCTGTAATTACGCTCCAGGTTGTTTGTTGCTGTTGCGTAACTGTGACCTTTGAGCTGTATGTCTCCTTCGTCTGCAGCTGATCCAAACTGGCTCCTGTTTTAGAAAGTCTGTTAGCCTCTTTAGATATATTCCTCTTTTCCTTCCAAACAGTGCAGTCTGAATACTTTCCTAACCAGCATGGAGGCGTGGACACTTTTCTTTTTTCGCGTGTTACTTCTAGCTTTTAAATGGAACTCTGTGTGCTTTTTTGCACTTTAAAAACACGTTTCGTTTTCTCCTTTTATTTCAATCCCTGATGTTTCAGACCATCCATTTTTTATTCATCCATTTTCTGACATGCACACACTCACACCTAACAGTCATGTTTTTGGGCTGTGGGAGGAAGCTGGAGTACCCGGGAAGAACCCACGCATGCTCAGGGAGAACATGCAAACTCCATGCAGAAAGGTCTGGGCCGGGAATCGAACCCAGAACCTTCTTGCTGCAAGGCAGCAGTCCTTTTACATTTTGCAAGGACACCTTTTTAAAATACTAAGGATCCACATTATTTTTTTAATTAGAATATTTTTAATTAAACTTGTAAAGCATTTTTTCTTACTTTTAAAGATGCACCGATCTGATATTGAGTAATTAGCTGGAGCTGATAATCGGCTAACTGACGCCATCCCAGTCCAGTCATTTTCTTTTTTCATTCCTATCACACATAATACAGATTTACTGCTACTTTATATTATATTATACTTTAAAATATCTATTTTAACAATATTTTACATGCTCTGTTGCTGATTTAATCTTTTCTTTGCAATAAATAATATCAAATACATTATATGTTTGAATTGGTTACTGATGCCTTCACTCACATCTATCCTGTTCATTCAACACTCGATTGATGCATCTCTAATGAATTTCTTTTTATTTCTTCTTGCGTAATGATTAACTGATTTTGAAATATTTGAATTAATATTTTAATTTGTATGATAAGAAACAAGAAGGGTATATGATATGATGCAATCATACTTCATTTAGAAAAGATATTAAGAGCTTGCCCCAAGTCTGTTTTTTTTTTTTGTTAAATCCATGGATGTTTATGGTCCTTTGTGCAATTAGTTAACTTATATGGAATTAAATTAAAGAAAAAACAGAGTACCTTTAGTTGAAGCGCCATTTATCTAAATTATGTATTTAATTACCGTATTTTCACGACCATAAGGCGCACCGGACTATAGGGCGTGGGTTTTATATACAGGTACATGTCCTCTACTATGTTTCAATACCTCTACTGCGTATTTAAAAATAGAGCAAGACTGAGTATGTTTGTGCTTTATTCTTGTATTTATTACAAAGTATTAATCAAACCTGGGAGCTGGTCGTGAGACAGACACATCGCTGATGATACAGAGCGCTGTGATCGCTCCTCTGAAACAGTTTATTGACGCATAAATTAACTTAAAATGCAGAAATCTGCCGGCAGAATATGTTCGCTTTTATTATCCTGGTGCCTGCAGTTTGGATTATTTAGATGAAAAACACCTACCAGCCGCCGCGGTGAACCACGAGGAGGCTGACAGCGGACCGCCGGTATGTGGGGGTCTGAGCGGCAGGATGAACTGACTGCACTGATTAAGTTTTCAGGTGGACTTTCTCACTTAAAAACATATTAAAACTACTTTATTCCCACTGATCACAGCAAATATAGCTGCAAGGCAAAGAAAGGATAGAGAAGCTCCGCCCAACGCGCGTCAGACACACTTTTGCACTGCGCAGCCAGAGCAGTAACGCTTCTTCAGCTGCGCGTCAGAACTAACTGGTACAAGCAGCAAAAATGAAGCAGCAGACGCGATTTTGCTGCTCTTGCTGCATCTGGTGTGAACGTAGCCTTACTTTGAACGGCCGGTTCACCCCGATGTCGAGCGGTTGAAGTTCCTTTGTCGGACCCCCCGGGATAACAGCGAGCATAGCGTTTATTTGTTTCACCTTGTTTTTCACATCGGCTGTGAGATGGGCACGCATGGAGTCACAGATTAACAGCGATGGTGATGCGTGGAAAAAAACCACCTGGTCTCCTTACGTTCACCTCCCAGCCACTCTTTCATAATCTCCTCAATGAAGAGATGAGGAGTTCTGCATAAAGCACATACCTGTTCTTTTATACACAATCCACGCCCACACTTCCCCCTTTAACGTTCGCATGGCGGTCTCAACACAGCCCGCAGTAAGAACACACATAGGGCGCGCCGCACATTTTGAGTGGAAAAATAGACGTTTATATGCGCCTTATAGTTGTGAAAATACGGTAGTCTGTATTCCTGTTTTGAAAGGCCTCATAATGGTTAAAGCTACACTCTAATAATTAACAACATGTATCTGCATTAACCATCGGGGCTGGAAAACCATTTTTATGTCATGCTTAAATTCTACAAAGGGCCTAACGAAATCTTCCAGAGGGCTGCGAATGACCCCGGGGCCACACTTTGGACACCGCTGGTCCAGTAGTTATTTGCACAACTTAAAGATGAAACAGGATTTTTATTAAAGTACTCAGTTTTATGTTTTCTTATTATATCTGGGTGTATTTTCTAAATATTGAAGGTGGGCTGGTCCAAAACTCTGTGGGCTCTGAAGGTGGCTTCTATTTTGGTTTGTACTCCATTCTAATGGAGGGTTGGTGACATTTGGGCGAAGAGGGTCAGATTTAAAAAATAATTTTTATGGTGTTTTTATTTATAATAACCAATTTAATCATTATAGATCTATGGTGTCTATTAAATTTCAAGCATTTATGGGAGAGGGGCCCCTGATGGTCGTAAGCAGCAGCTTGTGCGGGCTCTGTTATGTTTTCTACTATTAAGCAGCAACTAACTGATGGACATAAACAACAAATGATAAAAGCATTCTTCTTCTTCTAATAAGAATTAAAGAAACGGAAAGAAGAAATGAGCTTTCAGCAAAGATGTAAACAAAAGCTTATAGTACTCTATACTCTGAGCTTATAGAGGGGAAAAAGCAGGGGCGGATCTAGAAAAATATTTATGGGGTGGCGAGAGGGGGGCAGGAATTTTTGAGGGGTGGCAACATATGGCATTTGTTTACACTGAATTTAATCACAGAGTATGTCAGTAAGTGTTTCATGTGAAACAGTTCATATTAATAATACATTGTAC